TCCTTCCTTCCCCCTTCCTTCCTTCCTCCCACTCACTCCCTTTTCTCTCCTTCTTTCCTTCCTCCCTTCCCTCCCGTTTTCCTTCCTTCCCCCTTCCTTCCTTCCTCCCTTCCCTCCCCTTCCCTGTTTTCCTTCCTTCCCCCTTCCTTCCTTCCTCCCTTCCCTCCCCTTCCCTGTTTTCCTTCCTTCCCCCTTCCTTCCTTCCTCCCACTCACCCCCTTTTCTCTCCTTCCTTCCTCCCTCCCTCCCCTTCCCTGTTCTCCTTCCTTCCTCCTTCCTTCTTTTATTTTTTATTTTATTCATTTATTTGATTTGTCAGTCGCTTACAAGATAATAGGTATAGGTATAAACATGAGTAAGAGTATGGGGACCAATGGGGACAACAAGACAGGGACGGCAGGCACCATGGTGCACTTACGCACGCTCCTCACCGACCTCTTAGGAATGGCTATTCTCTCCTTTCCTTCCTTCCTTCCTCCTGCTCCCTCCTTTCTTTTCTCTCCTCCCTCAACAGATTACAGAAACAACAGAGTTGGAAGGGACCTTAGAGGTCTTCCACTCCAACCCCCTGTTCAAGGAGGAGAACCCGGTTGAAGCTGGCCATCAACCCCGAGCTTGCCCATCCAAAGCTATAGATGCTTACATAAACATAACTATTATTTTTAAATAGATTGTGTGAACTCAGCCAAGGTTACTTACAATGAGAGCAACCTAGGTGGGATGCTTGCGTTGATCCTTAAAGGATTCGAACTCAACTAATTGCTTATTGTACCCTACGACTATTATTATTAAGTGTTGTAGCTGATGATTCTCAACTCTTGACGAATGTCTCTTTTCTTTTATGTGCACAGAGAGCATTTGCACCAAGACAGATTCCTTGTGTGTCCAATCGCGCTTGGCCCATAAAAAGAATTCTATTTTATTCTAACTAGGAAGGTGATCTGCTGGCCACTAGGGGGCAGCATCTCACCCACCTGAGCCAATTTTGAGAAGTCAAACAAGCCAGAGCAGGCTAGTCCTGGGATGGGACACCACCAGGAAATCTCAACTGTAAAGTTGTCTTCAAATTAACAACCGTTCGTTCAGCAACCGTTTAAAGCTACAATGACACTGAAAAATGTGACAACTGTTGCAACCTCCCACAGTTTAGCTACAGATTGATGTATGTATCTTTTCTTTTTATGTACACTGAGAGCATATGCACCAAGACAAATTCCTTGTGTGTCCAATCACACTTGGCCAATAAAGAATTCATTCATTCAGATACAGATACAGAGTTGGAAGGGACCTTGCAGGTCATCTAGTCCAACCCCCTGCCCAAGCAGGAGACCCTGCACAGTTTCTGTCAGAGGGCAGCCCAGTCTCTTCTTGAAAGCCTCCAGGGATGAAGTTCCCACAACTTTTTTTTTTTTTATTTGTCAGTTGCTTACAAGATAATAGGTATAAGTAAAAACATAGTTATGAATACATGGATACATCTAAGAAAAATAAAAATATATATAAAATAAACAATAGGACAGGGACGGTAGGCAGGTTGGTACGCTTATGCACACCCCCTACAGACCTCTTAGGAAAGGGGTGAGGTCAATAGTAGACAGTCCAAGGTTAAAGTTTTGGGGGTTTGGGGAAGAAACCACACAGTCAGGTAGAGTATTCCAGACACTGACCCCTCGGTTGCTCAAGTCATATTTCCTGCAATCAAGTTTGGTGCAATTGAGTTTGTATCTATTGTTTGCTCTTGTGTTGTTATGGTTGAAGCTGAAGTATTCATTGACAGGTAGGACATTGCAATGTATGATTTTATATACTATACTTAGATCGGACCGAAGGCGGTGTAGTTCTAGGTTTTCTAGGTCTAGAATTTCGAGTCTGGTGGCATAAGGTATTCTGCAACGAGTAGAGGAGTGGAGAACTCTTCTTGTGAAATATTTCTGGACTTTCTCAGCTGTGTTAATATCAGATACGTAATGTGGGTTCCAGATTGATGAGCTGTATTCAAGTATAGGTCTAGCAAATGTTTTGTATGCTCTAGTTAGTAATGTGATATTACAGAGAAAAAGCGATGTAGGATTAGTTTTAACAACTCTTAATGCCTTTTTGGCTACGTAGTTACAGTGGGCTCTAGCACTTAGATCATTAAAGATGAGAACTCCAAGGTCCTTGACAGAGTTTGGATCATCAACAAGGTCTTGACTATTCAGCCTGTATTTTATTTTCTGATATTTTTTTGCCAATATGTAGGACAGAGCAATTCCAAGGGCAACTTCTGTTCCATGGGTTGATTGTTCTCACTGTCAGAAAGTTTCTCCTTATTTCCAGGTTAAATCTCTCCTTGTTCAGTTTCCATCCATTATTCCTTGTCTGGCCTTCAGGTGCTTTGGAAAATAGCTTGATCCCCTCCTCCTCTTTGGGGCAGCCCCTCAACTATTGGAACACTTGCTATCCTGTCTCCCCTGGTCCTTCTCTTCACCAGACTAGCCAGGCCCAGTTCCTGCAACTGTTCATTGTATATTTTAGCCTCCAGTCCCCTAATCTTCTTTATTGCTCTTCTCTGCACTTTTTCTAGAGTCTCAACATCTTTTTTATACTCTGGTGACCCAAACTAGATAAAGTACTCTAGGTGTGGCCTTACTAAGGCTTTATAGAGTGGTATTAGTACCTCCCTTGATCTCGATTGTATCCCTCTGTTAATGCAATTTAGGATTGCATTGGCTTTTTTGGTTGCTGCTGCACACTGCTGGCTCATATTTAGCCGGTTGTCCACTAAGACTCCAAGATCCCTCTCCCAGTTCCTGCTGTTGAGCCTGGTTTCACCCAATCTATATGTGTCCTTTGGGTTTTTCTTGCCTAAGTGTAGGACTTTACTTTTCTCTACATTGAATTTCATTTTATTGGATATGGCCCAGGGTTCTAGTCTGTCAAGATCCATCTGGATCTTGAGCTTATCTTCTTGGGTGTTAACTATTCCTGCCAGCTTAGTATCATCTGCAAATTTGGTAAATTCCCCTTCTATTCCCTCATCTAAGCAGAATAGAATAGAATAATAGAATATAATAGAATAACAGAGTTGGAAGGGAATATGGAGGTCTTCTAGTACAACCCCCTGGCTAGACAGGAAAGTACGTCTATATATAGACTAGTTCTATACCTGTGCTTTGCTATGGGCTTAGTTTTTGGGGAGGAAAATAAGGAGAAAAAATTCTGCCTCTACCTACCAGCATCCATCGGTATTCATCTGGCTAGCGTCCTGTCAGCGTGTGAGAGAGTGGAGGGCTGTTTGGAAACTGAAAGAGTATTTGCTGTGTGAGCAAGGAGACAGCAAGGAGCCTGGGCATGGCTTAGCTCAACTGTTCTGTACTAAAGCTGCTTGGTGCTCTGAAACTGAAAGTGAAACTCCTCTCCTCTGCTTGGGTTTTGCTGTTTGGAAGAGATTTCTTTTCAGGTGGGGAGGGAGAGTAGAACTCCTTAGCATCAGAGTAAATAATAATAATAATAATAATAATAATAATAATAATAATAATAATAGTAATAGTAATAATAATAATAATAATATACGAAATACTAATGCTCTGGTGGTCATTTCGAAAAATCCTTTCTTAGTGAGCACCTGGAAGCCAAGAGGAACATAGGTGCCAAATTTTAAGTTTGTAGGTTTGATGGTTCTGGAGATTTTGTGATTATGTGTGAGAGGCATTTCACTTTTATACATATAGATTTGGTAAATTCCCCTTCTATTCCCTAGAATATAATAGGAATAGGAATAGAATAGAATAAAGGATAGGATAGAATAGAATAGAATGAGGAGAGGAACGGAGAGGAGAGGAGAGAATAAAATAAATATTGGATGAAGAATAGAATAGAATAGAATAGAATAGAATAGAATAGAATAGAATAGAATAGAATAGAATA